CCTGTGTCTGACCTCACGGCGCAGGCACTCGTCGGCCGCCTGTGTCTGACCTCATAGCTGGCTCTTTGCAAACAAGTCAAAGCGGAGCAAAGCTATTGCTCAGCTTCGCAAGCTTCCTGCCTTTTTAATTGTGCATAACGTTAGGTAAGGGCTGGTGATAGCCTGACCGAGACTGTCTTTTTACACAGCACGTGTGGGGTGTGTAATGGTGTTAATTCAGTCATAAGTGAATTTGTTTGTCGCGTAAGTGAATTTGTTTATAATGCTATGATTTTTCCCTGCTTTAGTTGTGGTTTATGATTTGAGATTTAAAAGATAATAGAATTGCGCTAACATGGAAAGAAGGTTTGTACCTGTCAGGCTACTTAAGTACATCCTTTACGGTATGTTAAAGGCCTTGGCAGGTTTCTTGTAATTACTACCTAAAAGAACTTATCAACAAGCCCTACCGTGGAGTGAAAGCCCATGAGGCACCCTCAGCCAGCTTTCTCACATCGCATCGTGACGTTCCCGACAGGTGGTGAGAAGATGTATTCTGGGCTCCATCGTTGAAAGTGAGAAGAACTATGTTGATGCTCTCAGGAGGATTCTGGAGGTACCTGATGCCACGCTGTGGGGTGTCTGCGTTGCTGTACACGTATGATTTCGCCACAGGCTTTACATTTTACATGCACATACATATTCATGAACATAAAATATGTGCGTTGGAAGCATTTTCTCTGCGCGTTGGCACCAAGAGCCACGGGTTTGTTTGGAAGTAACTCTGCGTACCGAGGCCTGACGGGGCCTCTCCCTCCCGGTGTCTGGCTAGCAATACGAGAAGCCGCTGTCTGAGCTGGAGCCTCGGGTCCTGAGCGAGAGGAAGCTGAAGGCCGTGTTCTACCGCGTCAAGGAGATTGCGCAGTGCCACTCGCTGTTCCAGATGGCGCTGGCCAGCCGCGTGGCCGAGTGGGACACCGTGGAGACCATCGGCGATGTCTTCGTGGCTTCGGTAACTGCGCCCCGCCCGGGGTCGCTGCGCTCTGTGTGCGTGTTGTCTTTCCCAGGGCTGATGTGTCGTGGAGCCGTGTGGCTTCTCAAGGGCACCAGCGAGTGCCCAGGGGGGCCAGGGCCACTTTCCAGGGAAGCTGAGGAAAACGTGCCGGGGAGGGGAGGGAGGGATCAGGAAAGCCCTGCAGGCGCACACTTCGCCAAGTCCTGGAAGCAGCACCAGGCAGCCTGCTAATGCTTTTCTTGCCAAACAAGGCCTCTGCTCGCTTAGTTACTGTGACATGGTCACTTCAGCACTCTGGGGCTGGGCCTGGCTTCCTGGCCTCCCCTCGGTTTCCGAGTGCAGAGTTCTCCCACGCATAAACAATAGAAAGGGATGGGAAACACCTGGGCATCTCCCCCTCGCTCTGGCCCTGCACAGAGACGCAGGACCCCAACGTTGGGACAGCTTGCTCAGCGCTTCCTGGCAGAGAAGCTGCCTGGAAACCTGTGCCAGGTTTTTGTGTCAGCAGTTCTGAGCCCTTTTATCTCTGCTCCTGGTAAGAGGTCCATTTGTGTGGGAGTGGGATTGCTGCCGGGCTGTAGGGGGTAATGGCTAACAAGCCTGTGTCTGCAGTTTGTAGGATAGCGCTGTCGAGAGGTATTAGCCTGGATTTTGTTTTGTTTTGTTTTGTATTTTAGGGAAGGGTCTACGGGGTTTTCAGGGTCTCACTACTAGATCAGACTTGTAGTGATCCACCTGTTTACAGCCTCCCAAGATCTGGGATTACAGGCGCACCCCCATGCCCAGCCTCAATCTCCAGCTCCATGTGCCCCGGGAGTGGGGCTGGCAGGGCATAGCTTAAATGAATGCTGTGAGAATGTAAAAGAGGACTTTGTTTTATGTAGTTTGTGTACTTGATGAAAGATGTAAGTTTGCAGCTGCTTGGAAGCTGAAGATACATCTCTTCTATTACAATATTTGCATAACATCATCTATGGATCCTCGTGATAAAAAAAAGAAATGCTGGCTTTTTATTTGCTTTTTATATTTTCTGGCTGTCCTGTATATTAACTTCAAATTTACCTTGGAAGCTTATTTTGCATACATGATACTCAGGATTGAGTAAGCTACAGCTGCAACCCTTTTTATTTTTAGGTGGAGACAGGGTCTTATCAAGTGGCCAGGCTAGGCTTAAGCTTGCGTCCTCCAGCCTCAGGCCCGCAGAGTGCTGAGACACAGGCATGCACCAGCACGGGGCTGGAAACTTTTTTTTAGAAAACTGGGATGTGGGTGAGATCAGGGCTTGTCCGTGGCAGCCACACCAGACTGGCCACAACAGGTTCCCAGCAAGCTTGCAGGGGGCAGAAGTCACGACAGTCACGGGAGCTGCCTGGAAGAGGCCTGGGACTGAGTGCGCCTGCGGAGCAGGCTTCAGTTCCTCAGCATGAGGTGAGCAGGTGGTTGGACTCTGGGCCACTGTCCTCTCTGCTTCCTGCTTAGTTTTCCAAGTCCATGGTGCTGGACGCCTACAGCGAATACGTGAACAACTTCAGTACCGCTGTGGCTGTCCTCAAAAAAACATGTGCCACGAAGCCCGCTTTCCTCGAGTTTTTGAAGGTAAGCACAGCTTCTGGCTGGCTCTTCCCACCCTCTGGTGTGAGCCCCAAGTCAGGGCCTCTCCAGGGAGGCCCTGCCAGTCTGTGCCTCTGAGCTCCTGGGGCTCTTTAGCACAGTCTCAGCACAGTGATACGCTGAGCCCTCATTTCAGTGTTGGCTGGGAATGCAGATGAATTTTAAGCTCTGATGAAACTTCTGAGAGTGACTTTTATTGGCCCATCCTTGAAGGTACATGGGGAGGGGCTGGGCAGAGAGAGGATCTGCCCCACGTCAGCCCAAGCCTGCCTGTCCCTGCACCACGTGAGAATAGAAGGGGCCCGGCATCTGGGTTCTGGGCTGGAAAGTGGCCCGCTCGACCAGAGCTGCAGGCAGAGGCCAGAGAGGCGACCCTGGACCCTCCACTCTTGCCTGTGGCCCGTAGCCCTGAGGAGTAGCCCGTGGGTAGAGCTGTGCTCCCGGGGGATGCCCTGTGGCATGGGGGCCGGGGCAGCTTGAGGGGCACAAGAGGGGCTCCTGGCTCCAGCCAGGCTCAAGCCCCAGGTTCAAGCCCATTGCCCTGGCTGGCCCCCGCTTCTAGAGACTTCTGCTGCCGGGCAAGGACCACAGGTCTGGGTGCCTCCCAGCAGCAGTGCTGCCTTTGGGTGGGGTATTCTCCCTCCAACACAGTGGTCCCTGCTGCACCTGACCCACCGAGACCAAGCCCCAGCCTGGCCTGGAGAAATGGCCATCCACCCCTCCAGGAAGCACAGCCAGGCAGTGACTCGCTTCCTTGCTGAGGACAGCGGCCATGGCGTGGTGCCCACCAAAGTTTGGTGCCAATGGCCAAGGGTCTGGACCAGCTGTGCCACTCAGGGTCATGACTTACTGGAGTCCCATGGAGCCTGTGGCCAGATCAGGGTGACGGGGTGGACACCAGGCTCCTCAGGGAGAGAGCTGTGACTGTGGCCCCTCCCTGGCCTGGTGCAGTTTCTTCCTGAGCTGGGACAGGTGGGCCTGGGCAGCTGGCAGTGCTGAGGGCTGGGCCTGCTGCAGCAAGTGGCCTTTGTCCCACAGCAGAGCCGAGAGGCTGGTCCCGACCGCGTCACGCTCCACAGCCTGATGATGAGACCGATCCAGCGGTTCCCGCAGTTCATCCTCCTGCTGCAGGTGAGGCAGGCTGGCCCGGGCATGGCAGGACAGGCCCAGGGCCCCAGTGGCTGGGCCAGCGTCATAGAAACTAAGCTCCTTTGTGCCCAGGGGTTGGCGGTGTGGGAAACCGGGAATAGATTCCGTGGACAATGCCGCCTTCTCTACCCTCCTTGGACTCATGGCAGGGCCAGCCCAGCAATGTGCACTGCTGTGCCAGACCATGGTCACTGTTCATCACACTGTGACCCTGTGGTGGCCCCCCCAGGACCTGGTGGTGGAGCCTGAGGTTTTGAAGCTAGGTACATGGTATCCAGCTAGGCTGGATTCTGATGCTACTGCTAACCATAGACACTGTGCAACTGGTCGAGCTGGTAACAGGTGACAGGGCAGCGTTCTCTCCTACGGGGCCTTGCTGCCCTCTGTCGTGGCCAGCGCCCTGCAGGGGCAGGCCACATTCAGTTCTCGGGGGAGGATTCAGGTCGCTCCTACCCTCTTCGGTGAGGCTGTGGCTGGTTCCAAGATGGCGTGGCCAGGGTGGCCCCATGGCTGCTCTTAAGTGGACACAGTGCTGGCCCAGCCTTTCCTGGACCCACTCATCGTCTGTGCCATGGCCTCCTGCAACACCACTTTCTTTCCTGGTCTTCAGCGGTGGGTGGAGGAGCCTGGCTCTTTTCTCTAGCTCATTTAGGAGTATGTTTTCAGAGCAGCTTCAAGTTCACAGCAGACTTGAGGGCGAGGGAGGCAGTGTCTGCCCCTCCCAACCAGCACTGGTGGCCACATGACCCAGGTCTGCTGGGCATCATCACCTGGAGTGCAGTGCTTGTGTGAGGGCTGCTCGGCACTGGGCCCTGGCGTCCACTCCCGCAGGACCTTGGTGACAGCATGGGTGGCTCCAGGCCACTGCGAAGGACTCACAGTAGGGGAGGCACTTGGCTTCTCGTGCGCACACCATGCTGTACCACGTCTGCCGCACTACGGCCAGTCAGTGTGCAAAGCGCAGTGCTGCAGAGCAAGGCTGCTCGTCTGCGGGCCCCGGTGTCCACCACACCTGCAGTGCTGCCTCCCCTGGGGTCTGGGCCCCATGGCCTTCCCCGGACTGGGGCCCGAGTTGTGCCTTCACGCAGGGCCCTGGAGTAGCTTCTACGTGTGAGTCCCTCCCTCCCTGGGGCTTTGCTGCCTGCCGGCTGGACCAGCAGAGTAGCCAGCGTCCGTGGTGGCTGTAGTGGCAGGAGACGAAGGATGCATGGCAGAGCCTGGAGCCAGCACAGCACGTGGCCCCTGAGCAGGGAGGGCCTCTGTGTGAGAGTGGGACTCAGCACTAGGCTTCGGTAGTCAGCAAACCATTTGTACTAGGTCGTCGTCCTCAGGACCTTGTGGATTGTCTCCTGATCGCAGGCCGAGGACACTTGGCTCGATGCAAGAGCAGTCGGGTTTCCAGACGGTGCGGGTGCTTGGCTTAGCTTATAGCTGCATGACAGGAAGGCCGGCCGGGCCTGACTCCTGTTGCTGCAGAGGCCTGCTGGCCCGCCCCGAGGACTGCAATTTCAGCTAAATTGCAGACCGCTATTGAGTGTGGTCTCTGCCACGCCTGCTGCTGTGGGCTTCCCTTCTGCCAAGGTGGCGTGAGGTGCAGGAGGCCCCGTCTCTGGTACCTTGTGGCCGTGCCATGCTCCCCGGCACAGCAGGGCAGTCCCCATCCCTCCAGGCATTCCTCTTGAGCCCCCTGGGCTGGCTGGTGGGGCCTGCGGCAGGCAGGGCACACTGTCAGGACGGCCAGGGCATGCTAGTGAGGCCCGTGATGCGCAGGCAGAGCAGTGCCGTCCACGGTCGTGGTCGCAGGCCCTTGCGGCAGCTGAGTCAGTGTGGACGTGCAGTGTGGTGAGAATTTCCAGAGTGTAGCCCCCAGCCCATGCTGCCTGGAGGAGCTGCGGCTTGCACAGCCACTGAAAGACAGCACCCTTCTGTTGGGGCAGAGCAGGGAGGGTCGTCTGGGAGGCGGAGCACGGAGCCCGCTGGGCACAGGTGCACGCCGGCTGGTGAGCACTGCTGGGACGCTGGTGTTCTTAGACACCAGTGTGAGCACTCTGGCCCGGCTCCGACCAGACCAGGGGGACCTGCAGGACGCTGCTGGTGGTGCTCACACTGACACTGTGGTGGGCACTGGGTGGGTGCGTTTGCCCCACAGCAGAGCTGCTGGGTGCTCGGCCCTGAGGCCCCCAGTGACGGCCGGATGGCCAGATGGACAGACGGACAACAGTGCCACCTCCCGGCTGTCTCAAGCTGCAGCCAGAGGCCTGCAAGTGCTGAGCGCCTGTCCTGCCTCTCGCCCCAGGACATGCTGAAGAACACATCCAGAGGACACCCCGACAGGCTGCCCCTTCAGATGGCGCTGACAGAGCTGGAAACCTTGGCAGAGAAGTTAAATGAGAGAAAAAGAGATGCAGATCGGCGCTGTGAAATCAGACACATCGCAAAAGCTGTAAATGAGAGATACCTGAACAAGGTGGGGAGAGCGGCTTCCAGCCTGCTGCTAGAACTGGGAACATGCCAGGCTCAGAACACGGCCCTCAGCCCGAGGTTCAGCGGGCCGGCAGGGCGCTGCAGGCAGGGTAGAAGGCGAGGGCACGTGGGGCCGCAGCAGTGCACTGTGAGTGACCTCCGCAGGGGCTCATAGCTTCGTGAACTCCTCAGAGGCTAAGGACAGCTTATTCCGGTCCTGGGGGTTGAAGGCAGGGCCTTTGCACTGCGCTACATCCCCAACCCTTATTATTTTTGTTTGTTTTATTTTAAGACAGAGTCCTGGCCAGGTTGCCCACACTGATCCCAGACTTGCGACCCTCCGGCTTCATCAGCCCCCCGGAGCACTGGGATCACAGGCCCTGCAGGCGCACCCCTCGGAGCTGACCTTTATCCTCCGTGCGCTGGTCCTGGCCTGGGTAGCCACTGGGCCTCCCTGTGCCGGGTTCCCCATCACCTTGGGTGCACCACAGAGCTTGGGTTGCTCACCAGCTGTGCCACGTTTCTTTTTTTTTTTTTTTTTTTTTTTTTTGTAATGAAAAGGAAACTCAGGACCTTGTGCTTGCCAGGCAGCCACTTAGGCCTCTGAGCTGCATCCCCGGCTGTGCCGTGCTTCAGCGTCCCGGGCACAAGCTGATCCCATGTGGCCTTCCCGTGCTGATGCCTTTGGGAGGCACTGACTTATGCGAGGCATGTCAGGAGTTATGAGTGATGCTCACGGCTGCGGAAGTCACGTCCTCAGTCGGGGCACTTTCCTGCCTGGCCGTGACTGAGTCATTTAACTGACGGTTTTGTCCTTTTTTTTTTTTTGGTGGAACCGGGGATTGAACTCAGGCCCTTGCGCCTGCCAGGGAAGCGCTTATTCCACTGAGCCATCTCCCCAGCTCCTGACGGTTTTAAAGTACACAGTTGTGGCAATTGTTGGGATCCCCAGATGACGGTGCAGGGATTTTGAGGGCAGGGGTGCGGCGGTCCTTCTCCACGTGCAGTGTTACCCTCTGAGACCCCCACCTCACCGGTGCTTCTCCTCCTGCACATATGTGTGCCGCAGGGACAGGGCTGGCACGTGCTGGTGGGAGTCAGACTGCGTCGGCGGCACAGAACCAGGCAAAGTGTGGCTTGAGGGTCACAGGCTGGTGCAGGGCACTAGGTTTTCTTTTGCCATGGTTATAGACGTGCCGTTGTGTCCTCCTACTTAGGGGAGCAGTCTTCCTAGAGGACTTGGGTTACAGGGGCAGAGGAGACTGGATGGCTTGAGAAAGTGAATCACAGGAAAACCCCAGCCACCAGCTTGTGGCAGGCTGGGTGGAGCTGGGAGGGTGGCTGCTGGGTGAGCCCGTGGAGGAAGGTGGTGAGGGCAGCCAGTGTCTGGCCGTGGGAGTGGGCAAACACAGCTGTAAAACGTTGAGCTTAAGAAGTCACGTCCAGCCTGGCCTGGTGGTACACTCCTGTAATCTCAGTACTCGGGAGGCTGAGATGGGAGGATTGTGAGTTCCAGACCAGCATGGGCCATGTAGCAAGACTGTCTCAAAAAAAACCCAAGAAGGTTGGGAGCGCAGCCCTTCTTGAGGAGTGGGCTCAAGGCGAGGGCTGTCTGGGGGGTTCTGGACAGGCGCAGTGGTAACCGGGAGTTTGTGCACTCAGCTCCTCAGCAGCGGGAGCCGCTACCTCCTCCGCTCTGACGACATGATCGAGACCGTGTACAACGACAGGGGGGAGGTCGCCAAGACCAAGGGGCGCAGGCTGTTCCTGCTGAATGACGTGCTCGTGTGTGCCACTGTCAGCTCCCGGTAAGCGCCTGAGTGTGTGTGTGCGTCTGGGACGTGGGCCAACCACCCTCTTGCGCAGGCCGAGCATTGTGTGTCCTGTGACAGGGAAGCCTTCGAGTGTGAGGCTGGCGATTGGGGACGCAGTGTCACCAGCTCCCCGCAGGTGTAATTCCATGGGCTGCTCCTACGATGTGGGGCTGAGTGAGGCTCTCACAGCCTCCTGAGCCATCTTTGGCTCTTGCGGGGATCATAGCTCGGGCCTGGCTGTTGTGGGACTGACACCTGTGACATCTCCGTGTCCCTGGCATCCCAGGGCTTTGTTGCAGACATAGGCTGGCTGGTAGCATCCTGCTTCGGAGATGTATGTGCTTATTTTTCTGTGTATGTGTCCTATGTTACAATGAAAGAAGAAAATACTTAGGCTGTGTTTTCCTGTTTAACTTTTACTTCCTCAGTAAGTTCCTTAGTCATGAAGTCCAGTGATTAATTCTCTCCCAACTTTGTAATGTAACCATGAGGGATAAGGAAGAGGCTGAGGGTGAACACCTGGGCCACGAGCAGGGTCTCCACCTGAGGAGAATGCCAAGTTGCCCTTAGCACTGCTCCACTCCACCTGCACACCCGGGGCTGGGTTTCTGACAGCGTGAGGCTCAGCTGTTCCCTTTCCCAGGAAGCAGCCACTGCGTCCTCCTGGAGGGGGTTTTACATCCCATCAGTGGGCCCAGGACCAGCTAGCTGCAGCTGTCCAGAAGGAGGCCCGTCTGAGGTTCTCCCGTGCAGTGGCATGACGTGGCCTTGCAACCAGGAAGTAACCTCTGGGTGGTTTCAGCCCCTCACAGGAGAGCCACTCGGGAGCTGGCCAGCGGTACCTGCTCAAATGGAGCGTTCCCCTGGGCCATGTGGAAGTGATTGAGTACGGCAGTGGCCCCAGTGTAGGGGAGCACAGCCGGCACCCCACGGCGCACGCACCAGAGAGCCTGGCTGTGTCTGCTAACGTCAAGCCACGTAAGTGACGCCCACTGGCGCTCCCATGCCGTGTCATGCTCTCTGAGGGCACGGGCTACTTCCTCGGCCCAAGACTGGTGGAAAGGTCCGTCACACGGCGCCTGGGCCTGTGTTCTGCTGTCTGATTCTCGTCATCCTCCTGGGTTAGTGTCCAGCCGTGTAGTTTTGTGACTCCCCGTAGGCCAAGTCCACGTGAGCGTCACATTGCAGTCACTAACCTTGGGAAATGCTGATGGCTGGGCCAGACTCCAGCTGCGGTGACGCACAGCTTTAGCCCTCTCAACTAGTCAAGATGCCAAACTACCCAGATTTCCAGTCACAAACAGGAGCGTGGGGTGAGGACGGGAAGGGCAGAGGGCACTGGAGGGAGGAAGGCTAAGCAGCGTTTCCACAGTGATGCGGTTCCTTAGGGCCCTGGTCCAAAGGAACAGAGGATCTCCCTAAGGTTTTAAAAACCTTTTAAAATCATTGGAAATACTGGTTGTGCATTGCCTCTCTTTGTTTCTGGATGAGGGTAACTTGTGTGCTTCATGACACATTGCAGTGCGTTTGGAGCTAAGCTGCCTCCCCGTGTTCCTGTCGCTGGAAGTGGCTGGTCAGGAAGCGGGCTCCAAGCGCTGCGTGGGGTCTTGCGTTTCTCTTTTGTTCTTCTTGAACCTGGAGTGAGCTCATGAGCTCATGCCTGCCCGGCAGGTGCTGAGCTCTATCCCGGGGCCCTGGGGTCTTGCATCTCTTAGCCCTTACTTATGGTGTATGCAGTGCTCAGAGCAAGACTGGGATCTGGGCAGTGTTGAAGAGCACAGAACAGTGCGGGGCAGTCAGCTGCACTGCTCCAGAGCCGGCTTCCCATTGCCCGTGAGCCCAAGAGGGCTGTGTGGGCTGCCGTGGCCTTCCCGGAGCAGCATCGGGGGCACGGTGTCAAGCACAGTCTCCTCCCTCTGATCCAAGGAGAACTTTGCCGTGGTGTCGAAAGCCAGGAGGAGCTCGGAACCCTCTTGCAGGCACAGGGAAGGACCCACACGCAGACTTTGTCTCCCTCGTCATGGAAGGCTTGGTGCAGCAGAAGCCGCCTGGCTCAGGGCCTCTTCTTGCACGCTGTCCTACACACCAGAATCTTTCTCTGCCTTCCCTGGAGATTTGCGCTGCCCTGTTCACTGGATTGGTGCCTGCCTAGGGCGTGGCATTTCTGCTCTTGAGTCACTGATACTGGTGGTTGGGTGCCAGCTTTGGTGGTGGGTACACTGTGGTGCATTTCTGTGTCTTTTTTTTTTTTTTTATTTTTTTTTATTTTTTTTTTATTTTAGGGAGGGATCTACAGGGTGTTCAGGGTGTCACTACTAGATTGGACTCATAGTGATCCGCCTGTGAACAGCCTTCCAAGAGCTGGGATTACAGGCACGTGCCACCATGCCCAGTCTCAATTGCTGTCTCAGCATGCCCTGGGGTGTCAAACGCCCGGCCCCTGTACCTGCTTGCGAGCACTTTAATCCGCTGAGTTATCTGGCCTGCCCTGCTGTGTCTTTATTCTGAGAATTCATTAAGGTATTGAGCTTAGGAGGCCTCGAGAGCTGCATCTGAACCAATTCTGCTTCTGCCAGTCTTCACGGCTCGCCCTCTGCCTTCGTACTGCAGCAGGTGCTCAGAAAGTGCTTGTCACGCGGATGAGAAGGACATGTAGTCCCACTCAGCCCCTTTCATGTATCTTTCCAGCTATCTGCTTATTAGACGCCTGTGCCCAGCCCAGCCCTGGCTGAATCCGATGAACAAGGTGTCTGTAGCCTCGGCTTCCTGCAGCTCATGTGGAAAAGACAGGCTTATTAACACACAGATGTGACACAGTGTGACACAGTCCATAATAGGAGCAAAGACAGCATGCATTGGCAGAGCTCCCAGAGAAGACAGACGGCTGGAAACTTGGATGTCAGCAGGGGCTGGGCAGACAGGGGCAGCCGTGCTGGTTAGCGCCCGAGCCTGAACAACACAGCCAAGGGCAGCGGGCTTGGTGCTCGTCTGAGTCCTGGTCCGGGAGCTCCTGGAGCAGCTGGGGATTCAGGCAGCTGAGGGATGGGACCCTGCGGCCTGGGTGGCCCCTCTGGTCCTGGGCTGTGGCAGTTTGTCCCTGGGGGCCAGCTCTCCTCCAGGAGCACAAAGCTGGGAGAGACTGCTGCTGTCTTCTGACCACTGGCACCCGAAGCCTGCAACTTTGCTTTACCGTCGGCTGTTGTATGTCCTTAAGAAGGAGGACGTGAGAGCTGGGCCTTGCAGAAGTTACTTCCCCTGACTCCTGAGGTCTGAGCGACAAGTGCGGTTGTACAACTCAACGCAGTTGACAGGTCTGGGCTGCGGAGGGGTCACCACAGCCCAGGTAGCACGTGGCTCTTCTCACAGTTTTGGTTGGCATTTGTCTGATTTGTCTTGTTTTTACTTTTTGTTTGCTATACACTTAAGATCTACTGTCTATTAGATGTTTTTGGTGCAGCAGAGAGACAAACGGAAAAAGGCCTTTATTGACATGGAGGGGCCCGCAGGACGGTGGCAGGGATCCTCTGACCTGAGACAAAGGGACCTGGGTTGTGTGGACTTCGACTGGGGTGGAGTGTGAAGGGCGGGCTCAGTGATGCCTGAGGAGCTGATTGGAGCTGCTGGAGCACGTTGGAAAGGCAAAAGGGAGTTGTATTCAGGGCTGGGTGGGGTGAAGCGGGAAGTGGTCCCTGGGAAGGGAAGCTGTTTGTTTTGGGCTTCAGCCATATTTGACCACCATAATGGTTCAGCAAGTCAGACTCGGGCCAGAACCTACCATTCCTGTCTTTTAGTTATGAAGGGGAGATGACCCTTAGGCTGCTTCCTGCTGAACAGGGGCATCGTTTTGGGGGTGGGGAGGGTCCACAGGTCGACGGTCCACGCACACGTGGAAGCCAGAGCCAGGTGTCTCAGCCAGGACGAGGAGTTCATCATTGGTGAAAGCTCGCATCTGAGATTGAAGAAACCTTGAAAAAAGTTTAAAAAGGCAGGGTGCTATGGGCAGGCAGGTCGTTAGCATGATTAAAGGACCCAGGAGGGGAAGCAGGAAGGGGGCCCATGATCCAAATGTGCCACTCCACCATGACCTTGGCAAGCGTTGTAACTCAAAAAATGAGGCAGGCTCGAAAAGAAAAGAAGCGCTTTATTTTAGCTGGTACCCAGCGGTGACCACCCCGGCAAGACGCTGAGGTGCGTGCCGGGAGGACGAGGGGAGTGGGCATTTAAGCCGATAAACCACAAAAGCTGACGTCAAGGGTTCACCTAGGGGCTGCAGTTGAAAAATTACATGTGTCTAATGAACAATAACAGGTGCAGTGGTGGGTACAGTTTGTAGCTGAGAACGAGGGCAAGAACAGGACATTGGGCCGGAGCTAGATTCAGGTGCGCACAGAGGACAGCGTGAGAAAGGCCCAACTGCAGGTCGTCAAGTAGAGAACGGGGCACAGTGGAAAGTTACAGCACTTAGAATGGCGCATACAGAACAGGATGGCGGCACATACGTCAGGTTATAACATTCCCTACTGACTTTATTGGGGTGAGTCTAATCTTTGGCTCACGAGAAAGGGGTCTCGGTGAGTGAGAGTTGTTCATATCCTTGGGACTTGAAAACTAACACTTTATCTGTCTGAATCTTATCTTGAATGTAAGAGACAAGTCTGTTAATTACGCAAGGGCCAATAGTTATACATCCCAGTAACATTAGAAGAAGACCAGCCGTGGCAGACAAGAGGATTGTCAGCCAAGGGGAGAATGAAAACCATCTTTGAAACCAGTTTTGACCTCATAGTCTTTCTTGTTCTCTTTCTTGTAACCTCTTTCTGAGGATTGACATGTTTTCTTGAGTCACTCCTGAGTGATTGGCGTGTAGACAGCAAGTTTCTCCCAAAGCCAAGCAAAGCCCTCCTTCTTTCAGGAAGAGAAGATCTAAGCCTCTCCGGTTCTGTAGAACATTTCAGCAAGTGAACTAAAGGACTCTTCTAATTTAGACACGGAGCTTTCCTGGTTTGCTAGGTCTTGATCGATTAAAGCACTAAGTTGTTTATAATTTAAATCTCCAACTATTAGGCTGGACGCTCCAATTCCAATGGAACCAGCCAGTCCCATTCCCAGTAAGACTGGTATCAACACAGGGTTAGCCCTCTTTGTGCGGGACAGGGGTGAGGCCAGCTCCTGGTAAGGGAAGATGTGTGATCTTCCGCTTTCTCCTGAGTACCAGTAAACTTGGGGCAGGACGTGGACTAATATGCATAGTTCATGATGTTGGGTAAAAGTCTGAGGCATAGCACAGGGAGTAATACCAGAGGTACAGGCAAACCAAGTTCCATTTGGAGCAACAAGGTGCTGATTAGCGGGATAGGTGAAGTTCAGAATGGAGCTGGAAAGGGAGTGATTACAAAGGGTTTTATATGGGGAAGAAATTAGGGGGTACCTGGCAGAATAGATGCAAGTACCAGGGTGTCCATTAATATTTCCTAATGTGAGTAAAGGCTTTTGTCCCCACCAGCAGGTGGGATTATCAGCAGAGGAATTTTGGATGTCCCTGCCTATTGTGGCTCGTAAAGGGGCGCCAGAATAAAAAGGTGGATGTGGGGGAAGACAAAGCCAGCAATCAGCAGTCAGGTTGGGATTGCTCAAGTTAAGGTATTGATACGTAATGTCAAGAGGTAGGAAGGGATCTGGGGAAGAAGGTAAAGTAGGAAAAGGGGCTTTTGTGAACGGCAGTAGCCATGACTGGTATTATGGTTAATCTAAGGCATGTGGACAGTTTAGGAAGAGCAGGCAATAAAGGACCAATGGGATGAGGTGGGGAGGCCAATTTGGTCTGGGCACAAATTGTATTGAAAAGGAGCGACCCGGATCATAACCTGAAATATAAAGCCGGATACCATAGTTTTGGCCTTGCAACCAATGGACGTCTCTTACCTTATCAAAGGTAAAGGTTAGTGGGTTGCATGAGCCTATTGAACAGGTTGTCGGCT